TCACTCAATGACACGGGAAATGGGTCGTGATCGTCAAATCCCATGGAAGAACAGGGGGAAAAAAATATTGGAGAGACAGGCTCATCGTGGGCGACATGCTTAACTCCAGATATAGGGAGCTGCAAACGGCTCGGATCTCTCCGCCGACGCGGAGGGAGGGAGAGAGAACCTCCCTCACCGGGCTCCCTCACCGGGCTCCCTCACCAGGTGGGTCCGGTCCCTTCATTTCCGGACGATCGGAAACTCGACTTTTTCTCCTGGTCATTTGGACGAGATGGAGAGAGGTGGCCGAGAGGGCTAAATTGCGTTACGAGAGGTGATAGGGATGACCGCTTGACTGGGGTCAGGGGTCAGAGGTCAGGCGTCCAATCGGATTTTCGAGGGAAGGGGGCATGACCTCTTTTGACCCGTCTCGTTTGACTGCAATGATCACTTCCGTCTCTCTCTTGAATTCTGACAGGGGGCTGAAATTGAGTTATTGCCATGCCAACATGTCAGGGCAACATCTTTTTCAATTGGGAGACAGTTGCCCTGATATGGGTGATCCGCACAGTCGGCTCATAATGGGAATCATGGCAGAAATCGGGCCGGGACGCCCTCAGATGTTCCAGATTTCTCTTAGTCTAAAGGATTTTTTTTTTCGGGAATGATTTTTTTTTTTTCCGGCACTGCACCAAATTGTCATCTCCGATACGCGGCAATTAGAACATTGTTCTATCCCTCGAAAGTGGGAAAAGAAAGTTAGGAACAAAAAAAGTGGATCTCCAGACAACTGGCAGGACAAGACGAAATTGCTGAACATCTTCGAGATGTTCAGCAAAAACGCCCAGGGTTTTCCTCGCGCCTTGAATCAGCAGGGGTGGTCAATTGAAATCCTCAATTGAATCAGCAATTGAAATTTCTCCACGGCCACTGACGGATTATCTGGATAATCGCTCCCCCCCCCCCAGCTCATTTCTAGCATTATTATTATTATTATATTATATTATTATTATTTTTTTTTTGGGGGGGGGGACAGAGACTTGCAATTCGCTACCAAATGCATTCATTCCCTCTTGTTCGAAGGGGGAATGGCGAATATTCAATTGCATTTTCATGAATCAATGAATGAATCATAAATGAAACATGAATCAATGAAGTTCGTTTCGTTCTGTGTCCAAACACAACACCTCATTGGATTACCTTTTACTGCCATATTTGTATCATTATTATTTTTATTTTTACAAATATTCAGTTTTAGGCTGGATGCAGGGAATTAAAAGAATTTGCAATGGTTATCACGGAATAATGCGGGGGGAAACCGAAAGCAGCTGGCTAAAGGCTTTCTCGAGACGAATCCAGACAAGGCAAATCCAAGAATCCCATTCCAAAAAGGAAAAACAATTTCCTCGGTCTTTTCCGCGAGTGAGCGGAAGAAAATAATCGACAAGATCCTTGACGCCGTTGAAATGATGTTTACCGACGAGCCTGTCGCTTCAGAGAAGGAAGTCGATCTCCGAGTATTTGGAGATCATGCGACATGCTTTTTCAGAGGCGCAGGAAAAGCGTTTCGTCTTCACCTCTGGCTCAGGTCGAACAAGGAGGTCCTCTAAAGTGGGTGCAAGATGCAGGAGTGAATGTCGACGGGCAGAAGGGTGCGAATGTTGCCACGGATGTTTCGATCGCGAAAGAAGGCAATGTCTTCCTCGAGAAAGGGGATTTCCTCGGGAGGAGTTGGGGGAATTCCTTTCTGAGCTGATCTGATCGGTCCCGATCAGGAATTTTCATGCTGGATGATGCCAGGGTTCAATTTAATCGATGGCGACCAATCGATTAAGACCTCCCCATCAATCTCCCCCCCCCCTTTCTCGATGGAATGCATCGCATATTCCCTGGACTGCAAGGATTCCGAGAGGCAGGGAGGTCCCCGCTCGCGACAGGACCGCAGGCGCTGCTCAGAGCATGACGATGCCGCAACACAGGGTTCGTACATCGGCAGTGGTTGCAGTGACGCGCGTATACACCCAGCGCACATGACAGACAACTGTTGGAGATGCTACACTCTTAGAAAATTCCGAGCGTTTAGGGAGTAAAAAGTGAGCACACCGTGAGCTTTTAGAATTTACTCTCTTATTACTCACTAAATGCCCCCTCATCGCTCGTACTGAAGTGAACACCTTGAAGTTCCTTGCCAGACCACTAGATGGAGGTAAGAGTCTCGCTTTTCGCACAGTATACAAAAGTTCCCATCCCTCTTTCACTGGAATCGTCCCTCGCAGGATTGTTTAGTACCTTGCCATATGTCTCGCCTAGTCTCATTAGAGGAATCAATAAACACGGACACTTCATCATTTGTTATCCACATATTCAAGACATGTTCATAGAGTCCAGACCATAAACAAGCTCATATTCCTATTGAGAACCCGTTTGGAACGCGTAAGATTTTGTCCCCATAGGAGATCTTGAATGTACAAAGAGTGTCCGTGAAATTCATTCAATCAGACCTCAATGAAATGAGGTAATAAGGGACTGATATCACTGATACTCCACAGAAACCTATAAGAGGTGGTCCAACCTCTGACGTGTACTGTAATCAGTACAGTCAGAGGTAGGTCAACGCCTATGCGAGAGGGAAAGCGACATACAGTATACGTGAGAATTTTCGTATTTGCATGACATCCCTATCACTTTCTGAGGGTAGCGATTTTACTCACAGAGGAGGAGAACAACTTTAGAGGAACCACTACCTCATTTAAGCGAGGAAAGGGTCTCACTTTGGGGGGTGAAACTGGAGTTAGCTATTTTTCTCCCTTTTTTGAGAAAAATCGCTCATCTTTTTCTAAGAGTGTACGCGTATACTGTATGTACGAGATACTAGGCATGTGTCTGGAATGAGAATCCATATGGGATCCCCCTTACGGAAAAATGAAAATGGATTTTTGAAACTGAAAAATATTATAGGATTCCTGTAGGATTCCTATTAGATTCCTATAGGATAATAATACTATATATGAGTTCTTTAAGATTTGTATGTTTAAAAAATCTCATGGGATGCTATAGGATCTTTATGTAAGAAAATGAATCCAGAGCCACAAAGAAGAAATTATTCCAGGAGTTTTAGCGTTTCTGTTCTTCTGCTATATGAGAACCTTTCATTCATATCTGTATCAATTGCCTTAAAAGGTTAATCATCCAGAAGGCGTGTAAAGGTCAGGAGCCCGCCAGCAGAGGGAGAAGTGAGAGAACCGTGCGTAGCACCGCCTCGAAAGGAGGCTCGGGATTCCCCTCGCGGGTTCAGCCTTCTACGGAGAGGGATGCCCCACCGCTCGGCTCCTCCGCGGAAAGGCGCATTATTCTGAACCGTATCCCCGCCGCGAGTTCCCGGATCGACACGAGCCGGAACCCGTCGTTCCCCCCGCGTCGACATCCTCCTGGGGTGCGATCGAATGTCGTCTCCTATCGCTTGCACATCATCCCCTTATACGCTATTCATGAGCGATGCGGACGTGTCGTTTTTCCTGGACATCCTCGCTGGAACCCTTCATGTTGCAACAGGCTTTCAAGAAAAGGCAAAATAAGTTATGCGGGCGCGTTCTAAGTATGACATTACCATGGAGTGCCGTCTCCTTCACTCCTTGAAATTAAATTCGGGGAAAGGTTTTTCCGATTGTCATGAATTATGTTCATCAACATTACTCATTGATGTTTCATCAATTTTCAAGACAAGAACTTGCTGATGTGCGATTGGGAAATCTTAATGGGCATCGGGTTTATTCTCTGGTTATCCACGCTTCGAACGGAAATTTGATGAGAACCTTGAACCCGATTCTCTTCTCATTGCAATGGGTTATGAGGGCTCGCACCTATTTTTATGATGCATGATAGAATGCATATCGGATTAGATAATTAGCCCTATTCGTCGACAATCACTCGAATGGCCTCTGTGCTACCTCTTCGCTGGAAATGGGTCAAGAGCAGATCCCAGGAAAAGAAATTACTTTCAAAGAATAGGCCAAACGACCGAAAGAACGGAAAAAAATGTTCCGCTCTGTGGTCGATTCAAGGCATGGGCAACATTTGACGGTGTAGAGCAAATTCTCGTGCTCGTGTCGCGTATCGCGCATTACTTTTTAAAAGCATGAGGTAAGCGGCTTCTTCGCCATAAGTTATCTCCAGTAATAAGCCCGGATAATCAAATGATCCGTCCTCGTCGGGTATGGTCACCTCTGAGAGAGATGTCATGTCGAGGCAATTTTCATGAAGACTGAAAGAGAAGGGGTCCTATCTCCACGGTACCGAGAAGCCTCGGGAAGGAAAAACGCATTCATGAAATCCGCGAAAACGTCGGACGTCATAAATGCATCCAACGGTTTTCCCCGGAAATCATTAGGGGACGGTGAGAGTATGTGCAAAAAAAAATTCCTGAAAAAAAAAATCCGGGAATTAACACCTGTTGACTTTGGAGATGAAAGAGGGTCGTAGAGACGTTCCTCGAATCCTGTCACCAAAAACGATCTCCGGTAGTCAGAATATAAATAAAAACGTTTCACGAAATCGATAATAAAAAGGTCAGATTCTCGCGGCCGATGAATGATTCATTTTCCAATTGAAACCCCTTGGTCCACTCCTCCGCATTTAGTTCCAACCGCAGGGTGGCATCCGTACGAGCTGGTTCCGAGGGAGCGATCAGCGGCTTTCGAAGTTTTTCATCAGCGAGTGTCAATTCATCAGCGAGTGTGTTTCACCGCCATGGAGTCGCAGCTCGGTTTGATTCCCGTCTCCCGGCCTGGCTCTCAGCATTCGTCTGGTAAGATTTTTTATTATTATTTTGACATGGGGATGCAATATGAAGGAGATGTAACGCCTGTCGGGAATCATGGGGATCTATGGCCAAAGGTTCGGCCATAGAACCCTATACTTCCGGACGCATGATACGCCCTGTGGACAGTCCCTACTCATGTTATTTGACTTATTTTAAGACAATAGTTAAAAATCGAAAATTGTCCAGGAAGCATGTTAATATGTCGTTAGTAATAATTTAAAATAATCCCAGTAACTCAACGTGATTTCTAAAACTTCCAGTTGCATATCAGCGTGTTTTCCTGAACGTTTTAGACATTAAACAAGGATTCCTATGTGATGCACACAATTTCCTTTTTTCCTATGTAATCTGTAATATAAAATGTGTCCATGAAAGATTCACACAACTTTCATCTTTAATAAATCATGAACTAATGAAGGCACATATATGTGGCTTGCAGCGAACGAGAGCTTGATATTTCAGGTTTTATTGCGCTAAAAAATTTTAAGTTTTGCGTTTTTGCTGAATTGAAGTCAGTCACATAGGTGCAGAGCGAGTTCAGAACTGTTTGGAGTTTTCCTCTTGCCTGTTGATGATTAAATATTGATGCCACTTGGCGATGAATTCAATCATGCAATGATGGAATGCAATGATCAGATTGCGTAGCATGTGGAAAATGATTTGTCATGATTTAATGTGATAATTTCCATGTCCGGCCTTGTTAACCGAAATGTATGGTTATATTCAGATTAGCTTTGGCAGAGTAAGGAATTACACACTGGAGAATAAAAAAAACTGGAGACCCGTCCTAAAGGCAATAAGTCGCTGCTTTACGAGGAATCACCCCCTTCAACCATCACTCGCCATAGGCGTTTGCTTCTTGAACTATGGAAGCCTGAAATATCTGGTAATGGAGTGAACATAGTTGAATTTGAATGCCTTGAATTTACGTGTTCCCAGTCCATTCATTTTGCAAAAAAAAAACACTAGTTCGAGACACGAACCTCATGCATTTCATTAAGTGAAATGCACAAAACGTATTGCTTTTGCACAATACAATTTTTGCGCATGCAACAGCTGCACAAATACTTGCAGAACGCTTAGAACATTTATGGTTTAAAATGTGAATCAGGTTATTTCGGTTATCGTGGTTGATGTACTAACCGTTGCTTTTAATAAATTAATCTCGAAGATAATTGTTCCTGATAGGAAACTCCCATGCGAGAAAATTGCAAGAAAAACCTAGATTTTCAAGGAAAATTCGCTCTTTATCCTCTTTCACACCAGTAGTTATTAAGCCTCTCACTTATTACGAAATCTGTTATTTTCAAGATTGAATATGGATTGATGACCCTCTGCAGAAATTGCAGATGCTTCGCGCAGCAGGCTGGTGAAGGACGATTCGGATAACACTCGCCCATGCTGTCCCTGCCCTCCAAGCCTTCGTGGGATGAGGAAGGCGATCCAGAGGAAAATTCCCATCACGCTTCCGCGATACAACCTACAATGCCTGTTGTGCGACCTCATCGCAGGCTTGGCTGTCGGACTCACCATACTCCCGCAAAGCCTTGCCAACGCTGTTATCGCCAACCTCCCTGTTCAAGTGAGGCTTCGACCATGTTTTTTGAACATGTTTTGTGCGTCGACCGTATGTAGGAAACACATTCAATTTCCCGTCAGTGTATAGGATCTGGCAAATAATGATTTCGTTAAATCATTGAGCCTTGCGTCAAAATGAGTTACTTGAACGTTCTGAACGATTCGTTTGACAGAAAACAGGCGCGCTGCTTCTAACGAAATTCGATTTACTCGACATTTGCTCGATAAAGGCAGTGAAACCTATCCACGAGCAAGGAACGATCCATCTGAGCTCTCCGTGCATTTACCAGGCGATACGATATTACAGAGTCTTAAGATTGGGATTGGGACCTTTTGCAATGACACGCCTGTGATCTAGAGCTCTGAAATGTCTGCATCGATGCCCAGTGTCGCCAGCAACCCCATTAGAAATATTACTCATTCAAATTAGCTAAAACGTTTTTATTGGGATTCCACGGGGCTCTATTGACGTGCCCCCGTATGATGCACCCTTGTATCTATATACCTCGTATAAATACTTCAAATGCAAACAAAGTATTCTTACAATTTTCATCTTGTTAATATTGAGTGTGGAATAGCTGAAGTAAATGTTTAAAGCAAATGTGCTAACTTAAACGTTTGACACGATTTCACTTAGGAGCTTCTACCATTCAGTAAGAAATGTAGATAGTAAAAATTAATGAATGACGTGGTCTACATTGAATTTCTTTACCATGTTTTTTTTATTATTCTGCACAGTATGGCCTGTACTCTGTATTCATGGGATGCTTCGCGTACTTTTTGGTGGGGAACGTGAAGGATCTCACGATTGGGCCCACAACAGTCATCAGCGTCGTCCTGAGGCATTTCGTCAACGCTGATGAGTTTGGAGACGAATTCGTGGAGTATGCCTTCCTCCTCTGTTTTCTCACTGGGGTCGTCGAAGTCGCTCACGGAATCACCGGATTCGGTAAAGCGACAGCCAGTAATTCCATCTGAGGGCATTGACTCCGTTAATATTCGTTCTATGAGCGATGGAGGTACTTAATGACGCTACTTAGTTGCTTTGTCACCTCAATCCGACCATTTAGAGTGTTAGCTGAATGACATCCTCATTCTCATTCCCACGGGTCAGCCCTAACGCCAGTGCGATGATGCCGTTGCGCACTACTCTGTGATATGCACGCAAATGTATTAATGGCGTATTTAATATGTATTGCCATACCGTCATTTATTTTCTCCCTTTCAAGAAAAATGGTTTTCGGGTCTAGATGAAGTTGACCAAGGAACAGGACCAAGGACCAGGGTGTTGAGGTCCGTCCGGACCTCAACACCCCGAAATCCTGTGGCACAGGTCATAGCAGAGTGTTCTGCGTCAACCCCACGCCATAAATCGGGCGTCAATCATCAATAGGGTTTTTAAAAAGTGTGAAAAACCGACACGACAAATGCATTCGTCAATTGGTTGCGAGCTTCAGGATACCTATCCGATGTTCCTCGAAGTTGTCGGAAATTCATAACAAGGATTGATGTTGGTAATGGTTCTTGGGGTGCTCCTGACTTTGTGTAATGTAAAGAAGTAAATACTATATATGTTCGTGTTAGTCTCGCTTCGATCTTTATTTTAGTGGGTAATAAACATTCGGAACATCTTGTAGGTAGTGTTACAAACGTGTTTCTCTTCCATATTGAGCTGGACAACATGCTTTCTCAATTCTTTTGTTCAGGTTTTTTGATGAGTTTCATCTCGACCCCGGTGTTGTCGGGTTTAACCTCAGCGGCTGCAATCGCCCTCTCCGAGACTGAGATCACAGGGCTGTTCGGCCTCTCCTCCGTGATCCACTCCCACAACCTCCTCAAGGTCCTCCGGGAAGTTGCTTACCACCTGAGCGAAGCCCGCATGTGGGATCTTCTCACGGCCTTCGTCTCCATTGGTCTTCTCTTTCTTCGGGTAAGGACTGCAGAAAGAGCTAGAATTTGAATGGCACAATACTTCCCCCTACTTTCGAAAAATATGCACTAAGTACAGTTTTTTTTTAATCTGATGAAGTCAAACAAAGTATAACGAACGTAATTTAGTATTAAGCATATGTGAAGAAAGTATCGGCAACTAAGGATGTTGTCAACAACTTAAATGTTTAACTCGCTCTATTGAGTGCTGAGGTTTTTGCACAGGGATTCCTTTGCATCTGAGGCCTTACGGATTTTATCTGACGGGAACTTTATCCCAAGTACTATTTTTCTTACATTTGCAATGAGAGAAATGCTTGGCGTCACCTTTTGTAATTTTGTCAATTTCAGAGAGTAAGAATTTATCCTTCTTCAATGTGAAAAGTCCCCCCTCAGTTAAACTAAGAACACCGTTGAATTGGTACAACCAGTAAATTGTGGAGTTCCAAGATATTCATTTGCTTGACTCATTTCTGCAGTTGTTGCCGATGCACTCAAACCACGCTTTAATACAATAGCGGAGAACATATCGATGTTACGCTTGAAGGGAATTTCCCATTGCATCAATCTTCCCAACAGGGTTATCAATCAGGTCATATAAGGCGATTACCAGCATCATTTCGCGAATTAAATCTACAACCCTTGTAGGTTCGACGGATGATTCTTTTTTTTGTGCTAATTTAAGAAATATTTCTATTCCGAATACGCGATTGATAGTTTACTGAAGAATATATAAATAACCAACTTTAAGCAAGCAATTTTTTTTTCAGGATACGAAGACGTGGGAATTGTCAAAGGTGATCAGAACCAAGGCAAAATCCTATCGTCCGTGAGCAAGACGATCTGGTTCATCAGCACGGCGCGGAACGCGATCGTCACGGTCACGAGCGCGGTCGTAACCTATTTCGTGAACAGGAACGACTCCAAGACCCCCTTTTCCTAACGGGTATGTGAGTAAAAGGAAGGAAAATATTTAGGAATGACGAGAAGTTCATGTGCTGGAGAAGTCGACGTCTAAGAGTAAAAGGCTTGTGATATGTGCGAGATGACCTTACCCCGATCTAGTCCAGAAACAACGGAAGTGAAACTCCGCTCAATCGGAGGCAAGAAATGACTGAATCCGCTGAATGCACTATCGGTGTTTGAGGTCGATACGTGGATTTGGCCGAAAGACTCAGTGTTGCAACCCTAATACCTATCGTTTGGTTAGGTCCAATTGAATAAACCCAATATTTTGTTAAATGGTTTCTCGCCGTTTCTCTACACGTTAAAATTGGCACCGGCACATCCAGGGAGGTAGGAGATCATAATAAGTCTGCAACCCATCGGCCCACGGGTCAAGTGTGGACATTGGTACAACCCTAATAATAATATGCAATATGTGACCAACATTATCAAATCCAACTTTCCCATTATAATGTCTGGACCTGACACTGCCCCCATCTTCTCCACTCCCCCTTTCCTTGCTTTCCGACGCGACAGAAATCTCATGAACTTAATTTCCCACCCCAAACTCTGCCCCCCATGCACAGCTGGGACGTCCCCTTGTGGTCGCCCTCGTTGTTTCACCTGTCCCTTCATTTCTTCCTCTCTCTCCATAAAAGGTCCTAAGGGACACTTCAACATCTTACATCATTTCACAAGCTGCACCAAAGATGTTATCTATATCATCTCCTGCATCATCTGCCCATCCTAATTTTATGTAGGCTAAACTAGACGTCACTTGGGGGATCATTTTGTGGAACACCTTCGGGGCATTCGTATCAAATCTTCAGAGCCAGTTCCATCGCATTTCTGTCTCCCAAATCATTCTGTCGACTATTAGAGTACAGAATCTACATCATTCTCATCTTACCCCGCAATACAGTATTTTGCCGTTCTTCAGAAAATCCTCTGAAATTTTGACTGGGTACTCTCTCCGGATGGTATCAACCCTTCTACCCATTTCTTGTTTGGCTCCTGATTTGCTTTCCTCAATCCCCCCATCCCGTTTCTCCTTCCTCCCCTTAATTTTTCTCTCTCCCTCTGTTTTTTCCTTCAGGTACTACAATACCATTCCTTTGAAGGTCTACTAGACTGAGGATCTTGGAGCATTTTCCCTCATCGTTTCAATGAACCTTTTTATACAAGTGCTGTATGATACATCCCACAGGTCTATGTCCACTCCCATCTAAAAATATCAATAAATACATATATATGCAACTGTACTTATTTGCTTATATTGACCCTTTGCAACCATACTGAGGACCCCCCGAACATCGATTTGGGTCGCGACCCGAGGTTGGGACCCTTACGGAAAAATCTTATAGGATCCTAAAAGATTTTCGAAACATGAAAATCGTATAGGATCCTATGCATGACTGTAATTATCTTCTCAATGAATACGTTTGTACCAAGTAGAACCATAAAAGTGTTAGTCGATCAAGAGAAACACCTATAAAGCCCTTAGAAAATCATCAAAAAGATCAGTTGAAAAAATATGATCCTCATTCAACGCCTCAGGCTGCGCATGTCACGGTCAGAATCCCCTTATTGGATGAAGAGTCCTGCTTGATTCGACCAGGTCTACTAGAAGAAAACAGCGGGATAAATGCTCTGCGCAATTTTCGTCCCGAAGGCATCCAAACCGTTTTCCCTTTGGGAATCCTAGGACGGAAGACCCTCGGTCTTTTTCTGATCAGGAACTTTCATGCCGGAACTTGGCTCATAACGACCAAAATAGATGCGGATTGGAGCTACCCTAGAATTCTGCGTATACACGAAATGTAATTGGGACAAGGACATCTCCAATCACTCGAACGGACTTCACATGATCACGATACAACTTCCATGATTATCAACTACCCTTTTAAAAATTAGTACAAATAAGTGCTTCCTAACATGAGTGCTTCTTGTTTTTTTTTCTTGTGGGTTAAATTACTCTTCATTACTCATTTTCCGTGAATCATGATCGGTACGATATAAAATTCATCATGTACTCCACTGAAAATCTAACGTCGCAAACTATGACAAATATCTTATTTCAGCTTTTCATACTGATTATTTATGCCATTCATAACGAAAATAATATTCTCTGGAATTTACGTTATTCATAATGAGGATTGAAATGGAGTGTTCATTTGAAATGGACATCGGGGTACCATTAACAAAGGAGGGTGTCCTCCAGGTTCCCAAATATTTCTAAGAATACTTTTTTTTTAATATTCTAGAGAAATGTAAAATTATCATGTAGCTACATGAAAAAACGGTTATAAAAATGCATGGAACTCCCAACCATACAATACAAGTTTGAGATCATGACGAGATGTGACCGCAGAACGGGAGCTATCTCTTGGAAATAAATTATTTGCCCCATCTGACGAGCTTACTGGCTTCCTTTCTCAGGAGATATCCAAGCATTTCGATCGGGAATGGACCGTACGTAAAATGAGGATTTCCTGTTGTATTATGAGGATGTTTCAATGAGTAAAGGCTCTTTGATTGTCTCTTATGTTTGAGTTGGGACCGCATTCTTTGGCAGAAAGGGGAATTGGCACCTATCCATTTTGAAAGTTCTAGGAATCCGCATTCGTCCAACATAGTACAACGCTAGCTGGTCGGTTTTTGTGGTCGGAAAGGGTGCACAGTCGTGAAATATACAAAAGAATGGCGAGACAGTATGGAGACAACAGCACGAATAAAAAAATGTATTGAAGTTGGAGAAACGTGAAAATTAAGGACGTGGGCTACGTTACTTAAAAAAAAGGAAATTATCGGCTCCTTCGTCACAAATATAGCACATCATAACGTTACCCTCATTCAGTTCGAAAAAAGTCGTCCTTCTCTTCTACTGACACTATAAAACGAAAACTCTCGTTAAAATGGATATGGAGAATATCTGAAGGAGAAAAGAAGCTGAGGGAAGATGTCCTATCTTCACATCATGGAGATGCCCCGCGAGTGGGAGAAAGGAAACGTATTCATGACATACAACAAAATACGCTCCCCTCGGGGGTTATTGATTTCATGAATACAATGCCTTAACTCACCTCATGTTCATGACATTCATTCGGAAATCATCAACAAATATGAATATTCGTAAGCATTCAAAGCATATTGCATATTTGTAAACGAAAATTTCAGGATTACTGGAACACTCGTGGAATCGGGGGTAAAACGGTTCTTTGGATCTCGTTACTAAAATTTCTTCCACGATTCAGGATGTATGTGGGAATAGGTCACGAGTTCATATCAAAATGTCAGGCTCTCGTCGCCGAGATATAATTCCTTTAGTGAATAAAGCCCGGCGTTTCCTCCATTCCTCCTTTCTTTCTTCCCATCGCCCAGTGAACATCGTGTGGATAGATATGAATTGATCCCTAGGACCCGAGTCGCCTTTTACAGCGATCCGCCTGCTACTCGGACGTGATTATTTCTCTTCCTCGTTCAGGCCACGATGGAAATGACTATCGTGTCCATTCCGGAGAATAGGAATGCGTTCGTCATCTCCCGACTCGACTCGTATTCGGCTGGTACGAATGTGTCCTTATAATTCAATCAGCAGGGAAGTAACGTTTAGGTCTGCAAAATCCATTCGTATAGAACAGCAATGGCAGACTGAACGGGAACCTAATGCATGAGCACGTCATTACATTGAATGTGCATTTTGAGTGATATTCCCACATCTGTGTTCACGATACCAATTTGTAATCGAAAGTGTCTCTCTATAAAAAAAATTTTTTAGAGTCCCTCGCGGCCTCACCGATTAGCTTCGTTATCACAGTTCGCTAGTTTTTTCTGTCTGTAAAATTATTCCGAGACGCCGAACAAGGAAAAAGGGCATGTTGGAGCTGAAGCTCTGCCTTTTGACTAAGTTGTGTTCCTCGGCAGCGGCCAGACACCGGTTTAAGACAGCTGTCTTTGGTGATTGATTTTAGAGGTAGTATGTCAGCGTCGAAGCATGCGCATCACGCGTTCATATAACGCTGATGCCTTTTGGTCATCATATCAATTATGCATGCCCATTCCCATGAGTCATATTTGACGCTTTCGGTTCGTTTTGGATGCAGCCTGAATTACTTATATTAGTATCGCTTTTTCTCAACGGATGAGAGTGCTTCAAAAAATGTATGGTTGCGCAAGAACTGACGAAGGCGTGACGCATGGCGTTTTGAAGTGTCGCCGTGAAAACTCAAGAAAAGGAGATGTCGCTGTGAAAAAGAGGTGTCTCCTCGGCCTCCTGACTAAATGGCAGTCCAAGGCAATTGCAGTCCAGGCTCATAATCTGGACTGCAATGCTGTCTTTTTTGTACAATGTTGGATATATAGTAGCAGGGCACTGTCAAACGTTTTTAGATTATTTCATTCGCTCATTCATATCTTTCTGAAAACTTCCTGAAAAATCCTATAAACAAATATACCGATGACGTTTTGCATAGCGTTCACATGGCTCTTGAGTACGTTTCCTTTCAACATCAAAACTGGCAATGACTGAAAGCTGAAATGTATTATACTGGTAGGTCACCGGGTACAGATTCAAATAAGATTGATGCTTGTATGTTTATCAGGAAATTTGACTCTTTTTTTAGGGGAACCATGCTTTCAGAAATGTTTAACTTAAGGAAGTCATTACATATAGAAAGCTACCATTTTGAAAATAGGTTCCTCTCAGGAAAATGACTAAGATAAACCCTACAATAAGATGCATTCCAGCAGGGTTCATATTTTGGCTGGAGTTATTTACATAATTCGAGAGAAATGTGACGCGTATTTTCTCTCCATCGAAATGTAGCATTACAGAAGTCTGAAAATCAGTCTACGAGTTGTTCATGTATTCGTATTTCTAACGTTTTTTTATAAGTAATATTTATCCCCTTTGTCCTATATTTGTTGAGGATTTTCTTCCAAATATGTTTCGATGCAGCTTAAAGTTGAAATATGCAAGGAAGACTTTTGGTACATACA